ATATATATAGACACACACATGTACCAGGGGAAAAACAATCCACCTAGGAATGTTTTACTAGATGACATGATAGAATCGCATTAACATGTGACTAGGATTAAGCAGTCTAAGAGGGGGACTATTGCTTCCCAACACACACAGCATTACCATGAGGCTGAATCTCGTCATACGCGCACAGACAAACATCCTAACACACCTCCCAAAGAGTATATGTGTCCCCTGATGGTCCTAAAGACCAACTATAATTCTTTTCCATAATTTCATCATCCTTTCCATAACGAACCAAGGTACAATAAGTGGTGCTTAACCACATAAATCCAATATCCCAAACTACATGTTTATAGTTACAATAATAATACCAAATTCCCTTTATATGTAACCAAAGTACAGCATAAAATCATTAAAAACTCCACGACATCCAAATCCAGTGAATCATATTTCAAACCTAACCAAAACACAGTTATGCATGCACTTGCAAATATGAAAATAATATTCATTTGAAAACAAAGTCCACTCACAACTAGTCTGAAGCAAACTCAACCCTTAGAGGCTCATTCCGATTGAGTACGAGAAGCTTGAGTACTTATGGATAGAACACAAGGACAATATTAACATCTGAATCGAATCAAACTTAAATTGAAACTTAACTTCTCGAAATTCAAAGTGAGTGCAAAAATCTGGGGAAACATCCCTAATGTTGTGGGAAATGACAAAATTAAACTACCAAACCTAGATATCGTATAATAGGCGCAATATCTATTCAATAGTTGTTGGGGTCTTTTTTCTTCGGAAAGCTTGTCCGGACTTGTTCATTCTTGGACTGCCACAGAATGGTGAATCAAACCTTCATTGCCCATTTTCTGAATTAACGAGAACTAGGCCCAAAGCATCCCGAAGGAGAAGCAAGTCCTAGGGAAGTACTCTATTGTTCTTCCAGCGACTCCGTGTTTTGTGTTGACGTTTCCTACAGCTCTAAAAATGGGTGAAGATGATTTGCTTATGTTGAACTAAGATTGTATGAGCTTGGCATTAGAGCTTGAAGTGTGGGAGTCAAAGACCCACAAGTTTAGCAAATGAGAATCCTTGCGCTTGGCTTCATGTTTGATATGCTTGAGTTTGGGCGTTGAGAATTTCTTGTTTGAAGTTATGGCTATAGTGATTTAAGAGTTTTAAGAGAAGGAGAATGGAAGGAAAACCTTGATGCTTGAAGGCTTTGGTGTTTACATCTTAGAAGAGTATAAGGGGGAAGGAAAAGCTTGGAGTTATGCTTGGTGAGGCTTTATAGAGAAGATGATGGATTTCAGGGATAAGAAAGTAGGAGACATGGTTGTGATGGCAGCAGGGAGCTTGCAGTAGCCAAGAGAATTGGTCGATGGTCGGTGGGGTGCTTGCAATAGCCAAAGGATGGAGGTCGCTGGAATGCTTGCAGTAGCTGAAGAAAGGGTGAGTTCTCATGGTTGCTGAGAGGCTTGCAGCAACCAGAAAGAGTTGGTTTTTCCTGGGCAATGCCTCCCAATTTATAAAAGGTGAAGGCTCTTTTTGGTTTCCAATAAGCAAAAGGAAGTGTTGGAGTTAGTCTATTTCAAACGAGTAAAAGGGAGCATTGGGACATTCTTATTTCCAGCAGGCAAAGCTAGGCATTGGAAAATGACTATTTCCTATGGGTAAAATGAAGTGTTGGAATTGGCTTGTTTCCAACTAGTAATAGGGAGCATTAGGACATTCTTATTTCCAGCAAGTAAAGCTAGGCATTGGAAAATGACTATTTCCTATGGATAAAAGTAAGTGTCAGAATTGGATTGTTTTTAGCAGGTAATAGGGAATGCTTGAAGAATATCTCATTTGCCCACCCACATTAAAGAACTCCAAGTAATGGGCTTGGACTTTGGTGCTTTCAAGTAGCTAACCCAAAGTCTCCATTATCCAAGAGCTTTCGTGGGCCTTATGGACCTCCATAACCTTCCACACCACAATCCCTCCTGCAAGCCCCGTAAACCACATGACTCATGCGAGCTTAATAGGTGATTGACATAGGAAAATGTATTAGCGTGTGGCGTGGAGTTATTTGGCATGTGCTTGGAATGCTTGGGCAGGTGTTACAATGACTTGGGCTTTTGTGACCGAGCTTAGTGACATATTGGAATTAAAGGAATAGATTTTTGGCATGACATGGATGCATGGATGCTATAAAAGCGTGTGTACATATTTATTCTATCGAATTAATTCCCGAAAATATAATTGGAATTAATACATGAACAATTTATCCCTATTTCATACGTCATATTGGGCTTTAAATGATTTGGGCTTGTCGTGACTTTTTGGACCTCAACAATAGTCAAACGGTAATCAAATTCAAATCCGAGCATACCTATACCAAAACGGGCAAAACCAGTCACCGCTGACTGGGTGTCTTGAGTAAATTTTGGTGACGGAAAATCTCGACAATAATAGGCAAAACCTATACCAAAACGTTCAAACCAACACGGGAAATAAGTTTGGTTCTTGGATTGCAGCCAAAAAGTGACTGGAAATAGATGAAAACATGACTGAATTGTCGGCCCTATATGGATGTTTTGAAAATTCCTAAAACTTCAAAATAGGGGTAAACCACCTACATAAACAGATAGAGCACGAAAAGTATATGAAGTTTAATACCTCACTCGATGGAAATGGCAGCCGAAGTCGCCAGAAATTAGCAAAACACCGCTGAAAAAACCTAAGTTCTTCTCGTTGTCGAATTGAGTTCACCAATTGCTAACTTGATTAGATCTTGGGTGGGTTTTGTAGAGGAGGACGAGAGTAAGATATTTCGTGAAGGTTGCGACAGCAACCGATATCGGACAACATTATAATTTGAATGGAAAATGGCGGCGTTACTATTCACCGTGAAGGAAGCAAGAGAGAGAGAGAGAGAGAGAGAGTATCCATAAAAAAGAATATGATCTGCTACTTAAATTGGGACTTTACGATATTTACGGTTGTGCCGCTACACTTTCGTAGATCATAACTTCTTTGTGCTAATCGGAATTGAGCCTACCATGTGTCTATGAACTGGTATTCACAAGCTCTACACAACGGTGCTACTCAATTCCTCAAATTATTTTCATAGGGCAAAAATGTAATTTCACAATTAAGTAATTAACTAATTATTTGGGACAAGGTGTTACATTATTACTTTATCTACACTATTCAACACTTATAGCTAATCATCCAAAGCTAGTGTAGATGTGTTGGAACTTGTACTGACATGGCAGGTGTAAAAGTAGATGTGGTCTATCCTCCAGGACCACTTTAATATGGCAATCATGATCCTTAGCAATTACACTTTGATATGACTTTCTTTTATATATAATATTATATGGAAAGTTAATGGTAATATAATATATATATACGTGTGGCGATTTTATCAACATATTTATTTTATTTATAATATGGTGTAGTTTTATTACCCATACAATAATATTTACTTTATTTATAGTATGGTGTATGTTCATTACCCATATAACAATATTTATATTATTTAAAGTGTGGTGCGGGTTTAACATTTATTTTATCGCACATTTGCTTTTATTTAAAGTATGGTGTGGAATTAACATCCATACATCAAGCAATGTATTTTATGAATTATTTACAAGTGTATTATGATGAGTTTTACAGCATATAGAGATCAGGACTAGAAGTTTCTTAATCCTCATCATACAACTACATCGGTACCTGAAGATCCTTAATGATATGAGAGTAAGCTGTCTCTTCGATATTATATTTGTGAAAAAAATGATCGGACCTAAAGATCCTTGATCCTTGACATGTAAATTAGGACCTAAAGCTCCTTTATAATGTAACAGTACTGTATCGGTAAATAGTGCAGTACACATGAATAGTAAATGTACTGACAAATGTATGAATCGTAACCGTATACATGAGTAGTAATTGTACTAGCAAATGTACTGTATGCATGAATAGGCACGTATTCATGACTTTATGAATAGTACCATATACATGCATAGTGACGTATGCATGAATAGTAACCATTTTGGGTGAACTGTTGCCATATACTAAAAGGAACCTGCAGTTCCTTAATCCCATAAATGAGCAATTAAATGAGATGTCAGAAGTTCCCCAAAACATGGACAATTACGTAAGGGCCTAAAGTCTCGTAATGTGAACATGAAACTATAAGAATGTCCATACCATGAGGATATATAAGTTCAAAAATCAAAAAGTGTTGAGAACCTAACATTCTAACAATTAAATGGATAAGCTTTGAGGTTTTATTGCAAGCTATGGCAAACCACATGTTTCTTTGGTATAAGAAAATAATGAATTTAACAAAGCTCGATTTTGTTACAATCGATACCTCAAGGAAGAACTGTATTTTGCGAACTATGGTCATTAAAGATTCACCATGAAATGAATAATATCACGATAAACCTCAAAGGATGAATTGAGGCTCCCTATGTTTTGTTATATTATATGATCTGGGCTGGAAGCACATGGATCCCAATATATCCGAAATCCTCAACCTGTAGTTCTGGGTATATAGTAATTAATGCTCTTCACTACTATATTGCAATATTATCGTGGATTTTCCTTAATTTATATTTCATGCCCAGTTGAAAATAGCAATTAAAATTCTGAGGTTGTGCTTAACCTAGGCTAGAAGTTCCGAGCACACATGCATTGAAATATATAATTTAAGAGATTTAATGTGGTTATTTGAACCTATAAGGCAAAAGGCTCCAAACTGTCATTTTGAAAGGACGTAAAAATCACAAATGCAAGTTTAAGACTTTGCCCAATTATTATAACAAGAAAAGAGCATACAACGGATAGATTGTTTTCACCAGAAAGAAATAAGCATGCCTTATAAAATCTGTCAAGCTACATTATGGCTTAGAAGTTCCGAGAGAAAGAAAACGGCACCTCTTGAGCTTAGCCATAAGCCTCTCTTGGTCTTCCAAAATCTTTTCATTGGAAATCTGCAGCATGTCAAGCTTTGTCTACGTATCTACGGAGTATGAACTCACCAGTTTCAACAAAGTACTATTTTCCTTTTTAAGGTTTTCAACCTCTTGCTGAGAATCATAAAGCATTCTCCGAAGAGATGAATTTTCAGTGTTCAGTTCTTGAATCTTGTTTATTCTAGCAAGCAAATGATAAGCCATGTTAGAAATAGAAGCAGCACTCTGAATGCTAAAGGTCATTGAGTCGTCAATAGCCTCTTCATCAGACTTTCCTGATAATAATATTTCATCCATAGAAGTAAGAAAATTCATAACTACTATGATATCAGTTGTATTATTCATCATCACGGAATCAATAACCGTAAGATGACAATTTTCGAATACAAAGGATAGACGCTAAACTTTGGGGTCACAAGTTGTTTTGGGAGCAACATTTAAATCGAAACAATTTGGACGAGAACAAGAGGAAGCCATTTTAAAGGTTTCGAGGAAAATCTTAAAAAGGCTGAACTTTCAAAAAATGGAAGGAATTTGAGTTGAAACATAGTTACTTTAATTAGGCCATACAAAGGCAATATCTATAGGAGAAAATGTGGCAACATTTCTAGGATCCCAATATTTCCTTTTTCTTTTCTAGATTTCAAAGCTTCACTCGACTTTCATTAATGTATGTCAGCACTTTAACGGTTTCAAGGACTATTTTTGTCAAACTGATCTTGCTTTTACGGATTTCACGGACTCACTTTTTCAAAAGTGTCTCAAGAACCTCAAAAGTTTCTGTAGTTAATTTGAAATTTATCATCTCACACTATTCCCTTTCTTGTGTATAAATATGTCATTAACAAACTTCATCGCAAATCACATATTATCCAAATGATAAAATATCAACTTGTTTTTCCTATTAGTGAGCCCTTGATGTACTTGAGAGGCAAGACTATCTCTGATCATTTCTTTAGGAAGCGAGACTATCCCTGATCACACCTCCTGTGATCTCAAAGGACTATAGGACAGTCAAGAACAAGCACGTCGCTCTAATCTCCTGAAGTTCTCCTAGGCTATGAGAAATGAGAGTTTGTTGTCTGTTACCTCATAGTTTCCTTCCCTGATTGTTTACCTACTTTGCAATCAATATTATAATTCTTTGTATCTTTTCTTTCTTTTATAACTCTGTATTCCTACGGGATTTTGTTTCTTTAGAACCTTCATCTGAAGAACAAAATCCAGGTTTGAACCTAACACCTAGGATTATTTTCTGACATAGACAAAAGAATTGTGATTTTTGCTCTTATAGGATATAACCAGATCATCAAGCGTTTCATTATATTTTCTAAGCCAATATGAGCTTGAATGATATTTGGGCAAAGTTTCTCTCACCTAAGGATGTAAGCAATATTTGTGTTATTTCATGCTTGTACTCTTATTAGTATGTTGATATTTTGTACGACATCTTCAGTGGTAACCAAATGCGTGTATTAATCTATGGCATGTCTGCAGCATGACAGATATATGGGTTCTAAATGTTCCAACTTCCTGAATAGAGATTATCCATGCCCTATTATAAAATATAGCTCTATTGGAGGTTATGATCCACATTTTCACATAATTCACAAAAAATATAGCTCTGTCCGGAAAAAGACAATCAAAGCCCTTGAAGTGGCTTGGGTACCTAAAAGCAAAGAAATAGTTATAACTGACGCATGCGCATGCACATGAGAATGGTGGGATCACGAATTGATGAATGGCAATTTTTGGTTTTAGAATAGCTACTCAAATCATCAATAGGTTGTGTTGATTGGAACCACGTTCTATTATTAAATGTCGACAAAATCATTGGCCAAAATGGAAAGAGGCAATTCCATTATAGATGAGAATGAACGTGAAAGAACAACCCCATAGTACGAACCCCAAAAGATGTTAACCCTGAAAGTTATACATAGGTGTTCAGAATAAAGAAGAATATACTCACTTTATATGACACAATGTTTCTGGTAGAAATAAGGAATGTTGAGGTTCTCCAGATTTACTGATGCTATCATGCCTTCTTGTTGCACATTTACGAAGACCAACATGTTATCTTTAAGGGTTATTAAATGCAAGGAGCATATCTCCAGAATTGATTCCTAAAGATGTATAAATAGCTGAGTTAAAGCTATATAATGTGTCATAAAGTGTAATCCCTTAAATAAAATCTCTAAAAGATTAAAATTGCATGAAGCAAGTCCCTGAATGACATGTGCATGAAGCACAAGTTTTGTACTCAATACTAATATGTATAAATTGTCTCAGTAAGTACATTCATTATGATATGGTTGCTACACATTACAACTCCTGAAGAGTTGATAATTGATCAAAGGGTATACCAATGATTTGTCCCCTAAACTTGTACCTTGGTTTCAATTGACCCCCTATCCTTTTTTTTTAGAAAATTAAGGACCCAGTCTTTTTTTATTTTGGCCAATGTGCCCCCCGACTTCAGAATCTGGTACTTCCCATCCATTTTGCAGTCAAGATGGAGGTTACTTTTGTCATTTAGCATGTCCACGCAAGTCAACCCAGTGTAAGTCGAAGGAGGCTAGGTCAGTTTTTTTTTAAAAAAAAAGCAAGGTTAGATCAAAGCTGTAGCTTTAGGGTTCGAAAGTTTGGGGGAATTGGGGATTTCAAGAAATCGAGCTGCATAGTGGCTGATGTTGACAAATCGGCGAGGTTATCATAGGAATCTCGAAGCAACAGACCTGTATTGACCAAGAAAGATGCCTATCGAAGTTCGGAGCAGTGGGCAATGGGTAGGCTCCCAAGTATAGTAAGTCTTCAACTTTCCCTTTCTTTTCATTGTTTAAGTGGTTGTGGTCCATAGGTTGTCGGTAGAATTGGATTCTTCTATCTTCTTGTCTTGCTATAAGATTCCTTCTTGAATAGAAAAGTGTGGTCCCAAAGTAAAGCATGTGCGTTGCTTTGTCTGTATGTGGCTGATGTTAGTAAAGGCTGGTGCCGATTGGTAGGTTTGTTGTAAATTCAAGTTGCTGAGTTAATTAAATTAAATTTTGTTGTTTGTAGGTGATCCAAAGTTATTTACAATTGAAATTCACCATGGGGGGTATTTTAAAAAGGGGAAGTATGTGGGAGGTACTGTCCAATGGGCAGACAACTGTAATACAGATCAGTTGTCAATGCTAGACTTATATGATGTTGCTGAATCACTAGGATACAACCACATAAAAGTCGATTTTTCATAATTTGCTTCAACCACAATTGATACATGTAGATGTACAAGATGATGTGAACATTGCTGATGATGCCGATGATGAAGCTGAAGAGGAAGATGAAGAGCAGCAAGTAGATGAGGAAGATGAGGAGCAGCAGGTAGATGAGGAAGATGAGGAGCAGCAAGTAGATGAGGAAGAAGATGTAAATGTTGATGGAGAGGATGATGATGAAGAGCACCTGCAGTTCATAGATAGTGACTACGAGCAAACAGATGAAGAACAAGAGAAACAAAAGGGAGTAGAAGATGACAGGTGGTTTGATAGGCATGTAGTGGATGAAGCTGCTGAAGAACCACAGAGAGAACCCGGTGATGTTCCAAGTGATGACTACAATTTAGAGGACCTTCTAAGTGTTTCAAAAGAGGAAGATGAAGTTGATGAAAATACAGGTGTGAAAAAGGGTAGTCGCAGAAGAAAAGCTCATAGGTTCAAGCAATTCAAAAGGGATACTGATTTATTTAATCCAATATTTCATATTGGAATGGAGTTTGCTAACATGGAACAATGTAGGGAGGCCATAAGATTCTATGCAGTTTCAAGTGCTAGGCCACTGAGATGGGTCAAGAATGACCCTCACAGGGTTAGGGTGGTGGAAGTGGAGGAAAGGCTGAAAAAAAAGGGTTTAGGAAAAATGGAGAAAAAAAAATAGAGAAAAACGTGTACCAAATGGTGGAGAGGATGGTGGAGAAGAAAATTGACAAAATGGTGGAGAAAAGAGTAAAGAAAAAGGTAAAGAAAAGAGGGATGTCAAGTGTGATTGGTTACTATATGCATCTTATGTGGACAAAGGGCCTACTACTAGGATCAAGGCATATCAACCTAAGCATGTACGTGGAAGGATGCAAAAGACCAAGTTTGCCACTTCTTCTTGGCTTGCTCAAGGTTTGATGAGGACTTTAGAGATAATCCTAATATGTCTGTGTCAGATTTCATGAAGATCGTGAGGAAGAATTATTGCATAGATATCACTGCAAACTAGTTTTACAAAGCCAAGAGCATAGCTAAAGAGAGAATACATGGAAGTATTGAAGAACAGTACACAAAATTGTAGGATTATTGTGAAGAGTTGAAGGTAAACAATCCAAGCAGCACTGTCTTAATCAAGACTAATTCGCGAAGGGACAACCCAGTATTTAAAAGAATATATATCTGTTTTGGTGCATTGAAGAAGGGCTTTATTGTAGGATGCAGGCCAGTTGTGAGTTTCGATGGCTGTCATGTAAAGGGACCTCATCCAGGACAGATTTTATTTGTAGTTGGTATTGATGCGAATCATGGGATGTACCTTATCTGTCGCATTTGCTATGGTTGAAGTAGAAAATACCCAGACTTGGGCATGGTTTATGGAGCTTTTCTTTGCTGATGTTGGGTGTGAAAATGGTAATGGTTGGGTGTTCATGTCAGATAAGCAAAAGGGTTTAGGGCAAGCTATTAGGGATTTTATGCCCACTGCTGAGCACAGGCATTGTGTTAGGTACCTTGATAATAATTTCAAGATTGTTGGTCACAGTGGACTAGCATTGAAGCAAAGATTGTGGGTAACAGCTAGATCAACTACAATACCCACATTTGAAGCTGAAATAGAGAAGATGTTATCTCAATCAGATGCAGCTTACAGATGGCTTCAAGAAAGGCTAACAAATCATTAGAGTAAGTCACACTTCACAACTCATTCTAAGTGTGATATGATTCTTAACAACTTATGTGAGTCTTTTAACTCAGCTATTATGAATCAAAGGATAAGCCAATGCTAACACTACTAGAGAGAATTCGAAATTATTTAATGCTAAGAATGGCTAGACTTAGATAAACTGTTTGGACACATGATGTTGGTCCTAGGATTTTTGGAATTGTTGAGAAGCTAACAACTAAGAGTGCTCAATGTATAGCATCATATGCTGGTGGGAGGAAATATCAAGTTAATAACATCCATGGTGGGATGTATGTAGTGGATTTGGAGAGGCACACATGAACTTGCAGAAAGTGGGACTTATGTGGAATCCCTTGTTCAAATTCTATGGCTGCAATTGCCAAAACAGAGAAGAGCCCTTATGACTTTGTGCATTCATTTTACAAAAGAGTTGCATATGACAAGGCTTATCAGAGTTATATATCTCAAATGCCCAGTCAAGATTACTAGAAAAAAACATGCCATAGAACCATCAAGCCACCTCTTTACCACAAACAACCAAGAAGGCCTATAACAAGTAGGCAAAAGGAACCTCATGAGTTACCAAAAAAATGCAACAAAGCTGAGAAGATATGGGATTGTCATTTGTTGTAAAACTTATGGAGGTGAATGCCACAATTCTGCAAGATATGGTGTAACATCCCACATCGACCAACGGAGAAAGGGTGATGTGTCTTATATGTACATGCCCACCTCCATCTAGCACGAGGCTTTTTGGGAGCTCACTAGCTTCGGAGTCGAGGGAACTCCGAAGTTAAGCGAGTTTGGACTAGAGCAATCCCAGGATGGGTGACCCACTGGAAAGTTGCTCGTGAGTTCCCAAAAACAAAGCCGTAAGGGCAGAGAGGGGGGCCCAAAGCGAACAATATCGTGCTACAGCAAAGTTGATCCCGGGAAGTGACAATTTGGTATTAGAGCCACTCTGTCGTGTGGTGCGAGTGTGCCGACAAGGATGTCGGGCTCCTAAGGGGGGTGGATTGTAACATCCCATGTCGACCAACAGAAAAGGGGTGATGTGCCTTATATGTACATGTCTGCCTCCATCTAGCACGAGGCCTTTTGGGAGATCACTGGCTCCGGAGTGATGGGAACTCCGAAGTTAAGCGAGTTGGGGCTAGAGCAATCTCAGGATGGGTGACCCACTGGGAAGTTGTTCGTGAGTTCCCAGAAACAAAACCTTGAGGGCAATATCGTGCTGTGGCGGAGTCGATCCCGGGATGTGACAATAACGGAGAAGGTAAAGATGATTAAAGAGAAGTTGAAAACCGCACAAGACCAACAGAAGAGTTATGTGAATAACAGGTCCAAGGACCTTGAGTTTGCAGTTGGGGATTAGGTGTTCTTGAAGTTATCTCCTTAGAAGGGTGTTATGAGATTTGGGAAACGTGGGAAGTTAAGCCCTCATTACATTGGACCTTATGAGATCACAGAGCGCATTGGACATGTTGCCTACAGACTTGCATTACCCCCAGAACTATCTCTAGTCCATGATGTATTTCAGTATCCATGTTACGGAAGTACATGCCAGATCCTTCCCATGTTCTGGAACACCAACCTATGGAGTTGCAAGAAGATTTGTCATATGAGGAACAACCTATGCAGATCTTGGATAGAAAGAAGAAATGTTGCACCCCAAATCCATTCATGTAGTGAAAGTCTTGTGGAGAAGTCAAACTGTTGAAGAAGCTACATGGGAGCCTGAGGCGCAGATGTGGGTCAAGTACCCTTATCTCTTTCATTCACAGGTACATGAATTTCGAGGATGAAATTTTTTTAAGGGGGGTGGATTGTAAATTATCACTTCCCGGGATTGACTCCGCCGTAGCACGATATTGTCCGCTTTGGGCCCCCCTCTCTGACCTCAAAGTTTTGTTTCTGGGAACTCACGAGCAACTTCCCAGTGGGTCACTCATCCTGGGATTGCTCTAGTCCAAACTCGCTTAACTTCGGAGTTCCCTCGACTCCAAAGCCAGTGAGCTCCCAAAAGGTCTCGTGCTAGATGAAGGCGGGCATGTACATATAAGGCACATCAACCCCTCTCCATTGGTCAATGTGGAATGTTACAATCCACCCCCCTTAGGGGCCCGACATCCTCGTCCGCACACTCGCACCACACGGCAGAGTGGCTCTGATACCAAATGAGTCGAGGGAACTCTGAAGTTAAGCGAGTTTGGACTAGAGCAATCCCAGGATTGGTGACCCACTGGAAAGTTGTTCATGAGTTCCCAGAAACAAAATCGTGATGGCAGAGAGGGGGGGGCCCAAAGCGGACAATATCGTGCTATGGCGGAGTTGATCCTGGGAAGTGACAATTTGGTATCATAGCCACTCTGCCGTGTGGTGCCAGTGTGTCGACGAGGACGTCGGGCCCCTAAAGGGGTGGATTGTAACATCCCACATCGACCAACGGAGAGGGGGTGATGTGCCTTATATGTACTTGCCCACCTCCATCTAGCACGAGGCCTTTTGGGAGCTCACTGGCTTCGGAGTCGAGAGAACTCCGAAGTTAAGCGAGTTTAGACTAGAGCAATCCCAGGATGGGTGACCCACTGGGAAGTTGCTCATGAGTCTCCAGAAACAAAATCGTGAGGGCAGAGAGAGGGGCCCAAAGCGGACAATATCGTGCTATGGTGGAGTCGATCCCGGGAAGTGACATATGGCAACAATGGAGAAAGAGGTGTTTTGGCTTAATTTGGCACACCCAGCCCAAGGTGACAAAGCCCATAGCAATTTTAAACCAGCCACCAACGTTCCCTTGAATTGGGCCAAGATTATACACTCCGCCCAACACTATGGCCCCAGATCCGGACTTTGCAAAATAAACAAAAAATCAAAGGCCCAAAAATCCAAGAAAACCCAGCCCAGGATCTATCAAAAGGTGGCAAAATAAAAAACTTGGGCCTCGGAAAGAAGAGAGCAAGCTAGCCCTTAGTTTGATTCCAGAAAAATCAGAGTAGGCCCAACATGATTAAAGAAAGAAGAAAACTAACAAAAACGGACCCATGTGAAATCTTTTTCTCTGACTTTGAAAAGTCAATATTTTCAACTAAGTTTGGTAAGAGTGTTAATCAAAAGCAGGCAAACTAGGAGGAGACCTCTCTGAATCTCTACCATCAGAAGATCAAATCCCTATTGATATGTATAAATATATTTAGAGATATTTTCTTCTACTCCAAAAAAGGGGTGATTCTCCCAAGAGATAACCAGGTCATATTTTCAAAAGGGGATAAGCAGGAGGACAGGGAGCTATTCAAACTGAGAATCAAACTAACCATCATGGTTTGAGCTCTCACAGGGGGCAGTTGGAATTAAAGAAGGGGTTAGGTTCTCTTTCAGGAAAAAACAGGGAAGTGATCTTGAGAACTGACTGTTGAGAACTTATCTGCCAGAATTGATTAAAACCCCTTTTTCTTCGCATTTTAAAAATGAAAGATCTTTTGAGAATTTTTGCCGCCCATTATTAAAAGAAAGAAACCCTACTCAAAGCATTCCTTATAAATATAAGAGAGGGTGAATAGAATTCAACACACACTCAATTCATTAATCAAACAAACAAACAAAAATCAACCAAAAGTTCACTTGAACCACAAGAGGGGTTAGATTCCTCTCGTTACAAATTTGGTTCAGCAAAAGCCAAAAACAAGCAGAGGTTGAGTTTTCACAAATATGAAAACCTCAACAAATTTTACAGTGCAGTTCCAGCTCACTAAGTCCTCAAGACCAGCCACTTCTGTCCCTTCTGACTAAAGAAGCAGCAATTCTGCCCATTCAAAAGCCTCCCAAAGCTTGAAGTAGATTAAAGCTCTGCCAAAATTGAACTTTGGCATTGATTTACAGCTAAAGCTGAGCAGTTGAAGTTGTTAACAGTCCAGTTCAGCACAGACATATTCAGTCCAGCCCGGATCAGAAGCATCTATCCAGGCAGAAATGGAATTCCAGCCTTCTTTTTATCTTTCTAGCGTTGATTTTTTCCTTCTAAGTCTTGTAAAGGGCAATTCTGCCTAAAAACAATCCTCTTTATCATCATTTATTCTGGCCAGAACTACCAATCTTATACTGTGATAAATTGTGAAGTCCTCACCAGTCTGAGGCAAGAAAAGAACTTACTTGGGAGATATTCCTCACCCAAATTCACAATCACTTGTTTAAAAATCAGTAACTTGGGGTGCAAGTTATCCATTTTTAAGAAATCTGCTAGGATTTTCAAGGCTAGAAGTGGCACGCTCGCACATCAAAGAAAGCTGACTTGTTGACCAGTCAATGGTTTCCAAGGCAATAAGGAATTTTACCCTTCCATCACAGGAGCAAAAACCAAACGGGTGAACAAGAGGTGGAAGACATGTATGAAGATTGTGATTATTTTTGTTGATAGGAACTTTGTTGAAGGTACAATTTTGGTCCTGTATTTGATATTTTCTGTGGTTGATTATTTTTTGTTCAAGGAACAAGCTAGAGACAGGGGAAGGGCAACAAGAGTTTGAGGCAGGGGAAGGGGAACAAGTATGCCAAGTGTTCATGTCAGACAGACCAGATCAAGCTGAGACTTCAATCCAAGCTAGACCTTTTAGAAGAACAAAGCTTGGGGTAATACCATATGTATTGATTTGCTTTCAATAATTAAATATAAATGTTTAAACCAAATTTCGATTGATTTGCTGATATTGGTCATTCAAATAGGCAAGAAGAGGGGGTAAGTGTCTGAACTAACAAGGCAGCTTGCTCAAACTGGTGCTACCTTACAGGGAAATCAAATTAGGCATGCTTCTCAACCAAACTCAGAAAATGTACCTCTACCAAAAAGAGCAAGGTCATGGAGAGTGTAGTTGAGATTTGCTAAGCAAGGGATATGTGGTCATATGGCAGATTTTGGTATTTTGGAACACCAAAACATTAGGACTGCTTATTTTGTATTGTAATAGATATGTTTTGGAACATTTGATTTTGATGAAGTAGCATATATGGTCCTAGGATTCTCATACTGATTTCAATGGATTAGTATTGGAACACAAATGTTTTGGTTGGATTACTGTTAGAACACATATGTTTTGGTTGGATTAGTGTTGGAACAGATGTTTTGTAATGGATATCTTTGCTTGGGATGGATATATTTTGGTTGGATAGTGTTGCAACACTTATGTTATTTTACCTGCAGCTCAATATTCCCGCATATATCGTTCATTTTACAACACCATCGATATTTTAGACATTGTTCCTCCCCTATATTCTCTTCTCGTTTTTGTCTCAATTTTGTGTGGTTGAGGTTTCTCCTCTCTGTTGGGTCCATTTTGTGGTCCATTTCACTTCTTGTGTGGGTGTGTTTGAGGTTTTCCCCCTTGCTGGATCCAATTTTGTGGCCTTTCTCCACCTTGTGTGGGTGTGATCTTGAGTTTTGCTTATTTGGGGCTTTCTGCCTCTATTGTCTATCCTTTCCCTAGATCCCCACATGACTATCCCTCATTGTTTAGGTCCCTTGTCCCCCAATTTTCTCCACCCTATTTTGTGTTGTTCCAATATCACTCCTCTTCTTTAGTGGGCTTTCTGTCTGTAATAGGTTCTATGAGTGTAGTGGGCTTTGTGCCTTCTATGTTGAACTTATTTGAGCTTATCTTTTACGGTTTGGATCAGGTGAAAACGCTTATGTGCGAACATTACGTGAGAACACCGTTGGATCTAATCTAACAGCTGCATCAAAAGCAATTGTAAGTGTAAGTGTTGTATTAGAACGAGGCCTTCTTCTCTCTCCTCCCTCCAAAACGTCGAGTCGAAAACAGACGTCCCCTCCAATCCAGCTATTCGGTTTGTTCAATTAAGTGGCCAATTTTTTATCAGCTTTGATTGAGCAAGACCAATAACACTGAAGAGAGAGCGCCCCTGTTATTCCTTATTCAATTCCAGGAAGAACACAGAAGTATAGCCCTCATTTTTCTGGGTTTCTCATTCAGGCGAAAGAAAGTGTTCGTGTATTTTATATTATCATCTTTGTGGTTCAGTCTTTCTGGTCGGAACATTCCGAATTTGTCATGTTTATAGGGGGGAAATAAGTGTTGGGTTTTTCCCATATCAAATAGGACCCTGTACGAAATTTCCCCTTCACATTCGGAATTTGTCATGCAATGTTTACGATTGTTGCAACAACAAAAAAAAATACAAAATTTCAATCTAATAATCCGGAAATCCCTTTTGACTAACAAAATGATTTAAATAGCGTATTTAACCAAAAACTCCTTGAGAAGTATAAGTCAAAACTCCTGATGAAGTATTCATCCCGATACATACTTAGGAATTTTCCTCCATTTTTTCTGAATTTTCCTGTATTTTTTATGATTTTCTGAAGAAGAAAAAACGTAATAAAATACACACGGAATGCCAAGTGGCGAAGCTGGAGTGGGGAGCTGCAAACCTCAATGACACGTGGCGTATTCCCATGCCGCCACACGCCCCTTTTCCTTTTAATTTTTGTCTTGCTTATATTTCATTTGATAAACGCATTTAAGGCTACGGTTTAAGGTTTACTGTGGAGTGTTTAGGGTAAAAAAATTATTACAAATTCCCCACAGCAATGCTTTTTATTTTCCTGCTCATGCATTAGGGTTAAAAAAATATATATATATATATTCAACTTTGAAATTTCCTGTTCACGATTGTTAGGACCAAAAAAAGCAAATTCAAACTTCAAACTCCATATATGTTTCGACCAAATAATAAAGTCCAATTCCTTTTCAGAATTGAAGGAAAATAATTTGGGGGTTTTGACCAAATATTTGGAAGGGTATAATAATTCTTCTGTTTTCTTCATTTTCAACTATGGGCAAAACGATGTCGATTTCTTCAACAAACACTTAAGCAAAGAGGTGTCGGCATTGCAATGTTGAGATGGTGAAGCTAATTTCCAAATCCGAAAGGATATGAGCATACCATATTGGAAGTGCTTCACAACATATGTAAGTATAATCTTCCCAAACCTCGTATGTAAAACCGAATAAGCTGTATATAATAAACAGTAATCCCAAACTGAAACTGCTCCAGAAAAAAGAATAAGGTCTGACATTGTAATTCCAGACTGAAAAATGTAGTTTTGTTTTGTTTTGTTTTTATAGGGAGCTACAAGGTGTAGTGGCTATGAATGGGTGATAGCAGACAACACCCCAACTGAATCCGACATTCAAAACTAGGTGGATGTGAAGGAACTTAATGTATATGCTGAAGTAATTCGTATACTGAAGGGCATTAATAAAAATCCTCCTACTGTTGTTAGTTCTATCATTTAAAGTAATAAATGTTTTCGGTTTAAGTATATGTTTTGTAATTTTGTAATCCGGACAGCTACATATAAGACATGTTTGGCAATGTACAAATATAAAATAGAAAGGGGAAAGATGTGCTCAGGCATGCGAAGAAAGCTCTTCAAGCTTCCCTTATATTATAGAAAGGTTTGTTTTGTAACTCGTAAATATAAGATCTGTTACCAACAAAATTGCCCACCAAGTTAAATTAACTTTGCAAGTTCATATACTACACTACACCCACCCAGTTAAAAACTTTGCAAGTTATAGTATCTCCTAATGAATCATAGCTACCAATATCCCTGCAACAACTGTACAGCGAGCTTCAACCGATAGAAGGGCATGGCGTCATGGGAAATCTTGGCCAGGTCTACATTCGAGGTTAGAAACTCGCAGTATTTGAGGATGTACATCCCACAATCGCCCTTGAAACATAGCGAAGAACCTGTGATTCATTGTACAACAAATCCATTTCATAAGACAATGTGGTTAGGTGGAATATTACTCACCCACCTACTTGTTGGGGTGCATCCATGACGCGAATAACTGGCCACTCAATTTTTAGAAGTAGACCGTCACCAATATATCCAGATTCCTTTAACAACCGGGGCAGCATTTTTGCCACCTGCTGCACAGCCCGTTGGATGGCTTGAGTTCTGCACATATATACTTTTGAATCATATGCCCTTATCTCACACACTCTTTTAAATTGACAACAAGTAAGATCCAGTGCTTCTGCCTTTGTAGGTTGAAGGGCAAACAAACGCGATTCATAGACGACCATGATTTAGCCAACTTAGGCCCTTCGCCCTTGACCATTCCCAGTAAACCCTTGCTGTGCTGCCTGTCCTCCTTTCCCACATACGCCTTCATTTGCTTGTAATCCAAAGCAGCACATTTCTGCATAGTGGCACACAAGTTATGTATCATAACGGATACCAAATTTGAAAATAAACAATGTTTATGAAATAATACATACCTGAAAAGTGGTGTCCAGTATCGTCCAATCAGAACCCACCTAGTTGCCAAAGCTCTTGTGCCGCTCCCGTAGCAAAAGCAAGGCCATGTCTATGTTCTAAATAAAAGGGTTGTTTCCATTATTAAATCAATAAATCACTACATAACATGGCCATTTCGACAAAATCCCAAATCAATCAATGCTTACCGAGTCGTCCAACCAACCATCCTTTGTCAGCAATCGAACAAAGAAGTTATGTGAACCTTCCATACCGTCTTCTCCACATAACCGCACATGTGAACTATATTTATGAATCATTATTATTATCAATTCTGTACACACTGTTCTCTCGATTTGGCTACTCCATCATCCTCAGTTTTATCACTCTCCTCTCCAGCATCCTCAGTCTTCTCACTCTCCTCTCCAGCATCCTCAATCTTATTCCTCTCCTCTCCAGCATCCTCAGTCTTTTGACTCTCCTCTCCAGCATCCTCAGTCTTATTCCTCTCCTCTCCAGCATCCCAAGTCTTCCTCGCGTCTGCATGACTGGTACACTTTTTCAAGCGTAAAACTCTCTCCTCTAGCTAACCCTTCTCACGGTGCAATACTGCAACCTCATTCCTCAACTACTGCACAACAGAGTTTAACTCATCAAGGTCCTTACATACCCGCGAAGCTACACTAGGTGCATCACATTCAGGAACATCTGATCCCCAAATCCAATATGGTTGGCTCATCTCCAATTAACTTGGTCGTAAGAGGCGAAGTATAACAGGCTATCAAACACATAGAGTTAACATGTCATATACAATACTAAACAGCTTTCCTCATGAAACGAACATTGTACTGAAATAAATTATTAACTACACACCTATTTGCTTTGAAATATATAAGCGATTAGCTTTCTAAACTCATGCACTTTATCCGTGGATTCCCACTAGCAAATTCGAGGGACTAATGCAAGTTCCTCGATCCGCTTACAATATCTAAGGGGGGGAATTCCCAATTCAGCAATTAATTCATACACCCAAATCTACAACAAATAGATTATCAAAGTCAATACTTAATTACGAACTAAAATTTTACAAACACAAATTTTGAACTACATCATACCTGGAGAGCATAGCTCAATCCCTTTATACTCCATCCAGGTTTGTTAATTCTTTTAGGCTTCTCATCTTCCATGTTTTTCTTCCCTTTTCTCACTGAACTCCGCACAGCTTTTTTTTCCCGTTTTCTGTCATTTTCCTTTCCCATCATTCTTTTCATCACTCTCTTTCTTATCGGGAGCAAACAACAAAGAATCATGCAGAAACTCAAACGATATAGATCCCCACGGATAATTGTTGAATTCGTCCATTTTATGAACTAAATGTAAGTACTCCTCGTTTATCTTCACATTTTGGGGTTTACCCATTATCACAAACTCCACAAAATACAGTAGTCCCAATTTGAAAGAGTCATCGCTTCCTTTTTCGGACTTTAGGAATGCATTTTCTAAGTCATGGCAAGTAATGTGACCCCTGTTGGTAAAATGCGCTTTCATAAATCGATTATGACCCCCCCCCCCCCCCCGACGTTATGTTAGGCTCTGTTTCACATTTCAGACCACTTATCAAACAAAAATCCTTTACACTGAATTGAGCAACATTGGACCCTATTGCATAACTAAGGCCCTGCATGCCCTTAACACCAAGTCCTCCGACTCGCTGGAGTGCTAGAGCATGCACAATTTGACCACTAAATGCAATATTATGGAGGCCCAATAGGTGCCCAAAATAGCTCTCTCTAAATCTTTTCATAAGCGACTCACTGAAATGCGCCCAAAATTACACAGGACTGAATTCGCCACACACAAATTATTCACCCGCGCAGCATAGACCTCTGACTCCGGGAAACAAAGTTCAAACCTAGATTCCATTTTATAACTGCAACAAACACCTTTTGCTTAAGAAACAGAAGTGATACCTGCTCACAAAATTATGAACACAGTAACATACATAAGTGATACCTACTCACAATATTATCTACACATCTTCATCACATTAAGATACATAATGAATACCTACAAACACTATTTTCAACACATTCACATACATAATGGATACCTACTAACGCTATTTTCAACATATTAAGATGCAAACTGATACATTATTTTCAACTCATTAACATACATAATTAATACCTACAAACACTATTTTCAAACATTCAAATACATAATGGATACCTACTAACACTATTTTCAACATATTAAGATGCAAAATTGATACACTATTTTCAACTCATTAAGATACATAATTTTCACCTACAAACACTATTTTCAACACATTCACATACAGAACTGATACCTACCAATACTATTTTCAACACATTAAGATATAGAATTGATACCTACTACAGGATGCATTGATCCTTCTGCATCCCAAATCAGCTCATATTCACAGTTAAGATTCAATTTTCTCTTATGCGTTCTACTTCTAATGGTACTTATTCTTCGTTTTCCAAACCCCATTAAATCCCTAAAATGATGTCATGCACTCACACCACTAAATGGGCGAAGCAAGATTACAATGACCAACACATGAAGGTTCCTAGAATTTTAAGAAAAGACAACAAGCAAGCACAATGCAAAAAGAAAATAGGAACAACCAACAGCTGTGAATCTACACTTCAACAAATTACCACAAAAAATTGCGATAAAAAGACAACTCAACTTTTGGAAAAATTAAATAATATTTAAACCGCAAAAAAAACTTTAAAAATTAGTTACTATGCTTCAACAAATTACTAGAAACTAGAAAAAGACGCAAAAAAACAACTGAAGCCAATTTATATTTTTGCAAACACAACTACTACAGAGACAGACTACTCTTACCCAGAAAATCAAAGCCTGAAATCCTACACCAGAGACAGACTACTCTTACCCAAAAAATCAATGCCCTAAAATCCTAAACATTATTTAAACATTAAGTGATTTAAACATTAACTGAATGCAATATAACATGCAAACTTTAATATGAATGAAAGAGAGGGAATTCGAGAGAAACGTACAGTCTCAGACGTTCAAATGAGAAATATTAGATGAGGGAGGAAGCGAAAGAGACAGAGTACACCAGGGAGTTTTTGCGACAAGAGAAATACACAAATTTATGTCTGGTAGGTATTTTGGGTGTTTAGGGTTGATTTATAAATTCATAAATTTATTGACAAGAAATGCACGACTGGTGAAGTACGGCGCCACTGTCAGGAAGAAGAAAGGAGCGTTTTTTCGAAATAGGCGCGACTTGACACTTGGGCTAAGGGGAACTGCAGCCTACCCGTTTTTACCATAAGCTTGCTTTTTCTCTTTAGCCATTCAGATAATTTGAATGGCTGGATTTGGTTTTCATATAACGTTCACACATAATCGTTCTCAGTAGATAACCGTCCTATCTTTTAAGTTCACTCTGGTGTAATTGGCTCTTGCCTTCCTATATTAAGGAAACTTGTTTCTGATTAAATAAAAACAAAAACTTATGGAGTATTTTTTGGACACTAAAACGATTAATTATTAAATTTTTGAAACTTAAAGAGAAAAAAAAATTATAGTAAACCTTGAGAGCCGGTTGACAGGTTCCAAAACAAAAACGTCGTATGGGTGTACCGGTGCACTATAGTATAGACGGTGACTTAACCCAGACCCAAAAAAAAACAAAAAAAACAAAAGGCTACAGGCTACAGGCTTTTCCTGAGTTTTTTTAACTCCGTCCCATTCTCCATCTCTCTCTCTCAAATCGATCCTGTCCCTGCCACCCTAGGGCAGAAGTCGAAGCCGGCTCTGCCAACGTAGAGAAGAAATCGACGAGGCCTCCAACCACCAGGTTCTTCTCTCATCCGTCAGCAGTCCCCCCGCGACTTCCCTCTTTTCCTTATTCTCTCCATCTCAACCTGCAGATCTAGGGTTTACTCATCTCTCTCTTTCTATTTAGCTGGTCTTGGATTCTTGATTGATTTCAAAATATATATTTATTATCACCAATGAAGTCTTGTTCTGGGTGCATTGTAATTGAAGCAATCTGTATCTGTCTTTTTTCTTTTTCTGTGTGTGTTGAACTACAGAAATGTACAATAATGTGGGAGCCCAGCCTGGGGTGCCAATACCGCCTGCAACTTCGCAGCCAAATCCGTTTGGAAATACGTTTTACGGTGCCGGTTCAGGACTTATCCGTGGTGGATTGGGCGCTTATGGAGAGAAAATTTTAGGATCAAGTTCTGAATATGTACAAAGCAATGTAAGTAGTTGACCACTGTTATGATCTGGGTTCAGCTATTGAAGATTACGATATGCACCGTTAGCTTATTACTCCCCTTTGTGGTCAAGTTATAAAGTTTTTTATTTAACTGTAAATCATATGAAAGTTTGGAACATTTTTATTCTAGCATATAAGTTTCATGAATCATTGTCAAAATATTTGTATCTTGCATTATGAAATTGACCTCTTTTAATTTGGTAGAATGATGATTGGCATTATTGAATCAACCATTTTGGAAAGGCTTGATTTTGGTTGTTCAAATTGTTTTATTCTTTGTTTTTCTTCCATGCCCTTGATTGGGTGAAAGTTTGATGATCCATGTTAATTAGTTTGGTATATTGTTTTGTACATTATGGCCTGATGCGTAAGTTGGAACTGGTTTATGGAGATGCTTCTATAACATTTTGCATTGATCTCCCACTCATGTAAATTGTATTCACATACTTTAAGCATGATAATGGCCTTGTATGATTGCCATCAAGTGACTAGATTAGGCCTTTTCGAAGTTCTGTACTTCTTAGCTGTTAGAGTTTCTTAAGTCTGTTTGAGGTAGTTGAGCTTTATTCTGATATTTTGTGTTGAAATGAGCAGATCAGTAGGTATTTCTCTGATCCTCAATACTACTTCCAAGTGAATGACCAGTATGTCCGGAACAAGTTGAAGGTTGTTCTATTTCCATTTCTTCACAGGGTAAGGCGCTAACATTTGGAATTTTTCCTTGTGGAATCAGATTATGCTGCCATAGAACTTACTCCTTCCCCCTGCCCTTTCTTTTGTTGTTTTTTCAGGGTCATTGGACAAGAATAACTGAACCAGTAGGAGGCAGGCTTTCTTATAAACCCCCAATCTATGACATCAATGCACCAGACCTGTACATTCCATTTATGGCATTTGGTACCTATGTGGTACTGGCTGGCTTCTCATTGGGTCTTCAAGGAAAGTAAGTTTTGTGAAATTTCTAGATATTACTCTAAGTAGTTTCCTCTTTTATTCATATTAATCCTGTGATGGGAAAACATTATGATATGAGAACGAAGATTGCATTTTGTCTTAACTTCTTGATTTTTTGGCTGTTATTTTCCTCTTATTGCAATTCAGTATCCTACTATTAGTTTGTAATTTCTACTTTAGTTCCCCAGTTTTGGAGAAAGAGTTCTATTTAGTACCCAATCTATTTGCACCTTCTTCCTTGTCCACTTTCAACACAATGTATTGGTTCCTTTTGGGTAGTATACTGTAGCTGCATTTAGTTTTTCCCTTGTTCACGGTCTTCCTTTATTGAAGTACCTTCTAGTTGCTTAAGGCTTAAACGCTAGAGAAGTGCTTGCAAAAATTCATCGAAGAAGATGATGCCCAAAATAACATTATTTTCCTAGATTATACATGTGACCCATAAGTTGGACTATTGCATATGACCAAAGAGGTATGCTGCACTGGGACCAAAAACTCTTTCAGCAGCCCACACCGTTCTCATGTAGTGGCCAAATTTAGCTGTTTTTTTCAGAGAAATCATTAACCCCGTGTTGATGCACCAGTTTCTTTTCCTTTTCCTTCATCTTTTCTATATAAATACACAACAGATGAATTTATATTTGTAAATTAAAGTGAAACAATGAACTATTTCCAAGGCCAAGATTGTATTATCACTGCATTTTTGAATGTATGATGGCCTCTCTGTAGCTTCCTGAACTTCATCATGGTTTCAATTCAGATTTATTCATGTTCTTGTTATTTCAATCCTTCAATGCTAGAAACTCATGGTATTTTAAAAAAAAATTTGTTCATTGCCTTTCAGGTTTAGTCCTGAAGCACTAAACTGGTTGTTTATCAAAGGATTGCTTGGCTGGTTTATGCAAGTTGCACTACTTAAAGTAACATTGCTTTCCTTGGGTGGTGGTGAGGCACCATTGCTGGACATGGTGGCATATGCTGGCTATGCTTTCACAGGGTTATGCTTGGCCATACTTGGACGGATTGTGTTGAGTTACTCATACTATTTTTTGATGCCTTGGACCTGTTTATGCATGGGAGTTTTCTTGGTGAAGACTATGAAAAGAGTCCTTTTTGCAGAGGTGAGGAGTTATGATTCAAGCAAGCATCATTATCTTTTGCTCTTTATCGCTTTGGCGCAGTTCCCTCTTTTTACATGGCTTGGCAACGTTAGTGTTAATTGGCTTATATAAGACAGCTAATTTTGTATGGGGTATGGGATATGGGATAGAACCAATTCTTGTTTATAGCAGTTTCTGAAATCTTGTATACAATTTTCTTTGTATTCAATTCGGTCCACGACTTTTGCTCCCGCATTAAAGTAGTTTACTTGGAAATTCGTCACTGGAGGACAGAGATATCATTCTACTTGTTTTGCATGCCCAGAAATACTTCTGTTAGTTTTATTGGAAATCAACCCTGGTCTCCATGTTGGGTGATCAAGGAATGCGCCTGACTAGAAATGATTTAACAGAGTTGTTAAATATTTCCTAAATACATAAGCAAGCCATTTGCAAATGTCACTGCAACTGACTTCCCTAAGCATTGGGCACTCGAATCGAAGCTGTGTTTCCAGTCCAAGAAATCTGATTAATGATCATTGGAGTTGGAACATATGTGAATGTAATAATATAACGTACAGAAACGAGCACAAGGGAGGCATCAGCTTGCCCATTTGCTAAGGAATTTCTTCAACTCTTCTGGCTCAACAAAGCTCCTCTTTTGCATCCGGTCTTATTGCCAAGTAGGCAAAATTACATATTGATGGATCAAATAAACGAAAACGAAAGAAGCAAATCCCCCAAATGGATTATAAGTTCTTACATACATACATAAATACATACCGGTATGTACTTAGTATGAACATGTATACACTTAAACCTGTCAACATATATATATACTTCAACCTATCATCAAGTCGATACATGTCTAAAATCTCCCAAGATCAGGAACAGTAAAGTGCTCATCATCATCCTCTGCCATTGGAATTCTTGGCTTCTTGTTTGGATTGTTCGATTTGGGGGGTCTATATGTGGTAAAATTGGGTTGCTGTGATACCGGAAGCTGAGGAACTTCAGCAGCTGCCAAGGCTTCCTCCGGAAACTGCTCACCGAAAAGACCCATATCTGCTATCCATTCAAGCTCTCCAAACTCAAGCGACCCTTTCTGAAATGACCACACACAAGAGCTTCTTAATCTCAGGGACACGAATGGATGAAACAAAATGCAAATCACATATATATTAGGAGAAAGAATCATCTTAGTTGAGCTTCTTTTGTTGAAAGCTTTGCAAGATTGTTTTATTTTGAATCTTAAAACTCAAAAGTTTTCTTTCATTTATGTAATAATATTTGCGATGAGTAAAGCTACATAACTTCCAATATATATATATGTATGTATATGTTTTCCGGTAACCTTGTCAGAAGATTCAAAATCTGATAATTGCAGCAAGTCATCAACCCCCCAAGGGGATGAGAAGCCAGAAGGCTGAGGTGTTGGCAATTTTGTTGAAATCTGCTGTGAGCCATGACTGGGTGGCTCCAAGCTACTTGTCTCAGTGTCCTTAGTACAACTGGAGCTCAATGCCACCCGGATTCCGGTGGCGAGGAACCTCTGGTGGTTTGCAGAGTGGCTATTGGCCGAATGAACTGATCCGTCACAATCCTGGCAAAAGAGGGCTCTGTCTTCAACACAGAATATAAAAGCTGCCTTATCCTGCAAATCAGAAAATAATATGTGAGAGAGAGATTGAACAACAGATTCTTTTTTATATACAAGCGAAGCAACAGTCTAAATTACTCTTAAATTAATTTACTCTACAAGGAGAGGGCTCGAACTTGAGTGGTTTGACCAACTAGCCTAACTCACGTCTCCGATTGAGCAACATATTAAACAGGAACGGTTGTTTATCTTAGCCATTTCAGGTAAACTAACAAGTCCAACATAAAAGGAAAATCAAAATCACAATACAAAGAACGTGGGGAGTGAAATTACTTGGCAAATGTCACATCTAGGGAGTTTGTTCAACTTGGAGAGACACTGAAGGAGAAGCCTCTGGTGCTTGCTTGCAAGCTTGTTTGCTGCATGCACTTCAACGTCGCATTTGGCGCACAGCGCCGCCTCATCTGCGCAACAAATCACTGTCGCCGGAGCCTTCTCGCACACATCACACTGAATTTTCATCTTCCCTTTCTCTCCAAAAGCTCCTTCTTCAACAATCAAAGCTTTCCAAGAAAGCACAAACCAACAGCTTAGTTTTCGAAAAACCTCCTAAACCCTTCACCAACAACTATTGGAGTGATGACTGTTTGTTTGTATGATTATGGACTGATTCTGGGAAGATAGAGAGAAGAGAAGGCCAAGTAAAGTAACTGGTGGAGAATTGCAGAAGCTGTGTTTTGTGGGGCCCACCAGCTTATGTTTTGTGGCTGTAGAGCCACTGGATTGTCTGTGCTGCGTGCACGGCTAGCGTCCCTGCATGTGTTTGTGGCTACCGACATTTCTTGCCTGCTGCTTGCTTGCTGTCTATTTCACAAACATCGTTCTGGGCCGTTTGATTGATCATGCGTTTCGTGTTTAAATGATGGAAAGAGAAACGCGAATTGAACCCTAAATTTCCAGCCGTCCTATATTGTATCGTATATAACATTCCTCACCAACCTATTAAGCAGACCTGAGGAATAGTATGAATCCGTTAGGTTTGGGAGACAGCCCAACTTATTAATCATACCAAACTTTTAGTAGGCCAAAATTTATACCGTTAACGGGTATTTTGTACCTCAAACCGTTCAGTACGGAACTTTTCCCGCCTCTTTTTATTTTTATTTTTGGGTTTTCTTTCCAGGTTGAATAAATGTCAATTTTGGTTCTTTATGAATTAAATCATGCCCAACATTGAGGTTAACAACTAACAGTATGTTCCAAGTATCACATGGATGCATTTCCAATGAAATTGTTGGAATTTTAAAAGGTTTTAAAAATTTAACCATTTTGTTTATTTAATTATTTTGGTTGTTTTATTTTATTTATTGTGGGGGTTATGAATATTTAATATTCAGGCTTTATTTCTGGTTGGTGAATGCTTTAATTTTTTGGTTGGTGAACTTTTATGGTTTGTGAAGGTTACATGTTTTGGATGTCTATAAAAGGCTACTCCTCCTCCACATTTGATATACACACAGGAACACACAATACACTATCAGAATATCACATACACATTCTAATTCTTTCTTTTTCTATTTTACATATATTCTCTACTTTATATTATTATTATTTTGGGCAATGGTTATGTGACTTGGATACCTATATCTGTCTATGAACGTGCTCATAGCGGATCTTGAGTTTGTGTATAAGGGGTCGTATCTTGGAGTCTTGTAGACCGTCAGTACCTGCACGTAGGGAGGCTACAAAGGCTTTAGGACAACGTCTTTGACGTGCTTCACTGTACCAAACTCACCTTCTTACCTATTACTTATTTTCCTTTTATTTCCCTATTATTTTGTTTTCTTCAATTTCATTATACCTTCAAAGCTTTTCAATTTATTTATATGTTATTTATAATATAAATATTTTGTATTTGGCTTTATGGAAAGAGGAAAACTATTATTTTTCACAACAATCTAAAGCCTTTGTATGTTAAAGTTGTTTTCTTCCCGTATTGCTAGCTTTAATATCTTTTAACTCTTTGACTGAAGCTTTTGCATTCGTATTGGATTTTCAAAATGAAAATTACGATTTATTTTGGGTAGATTCAGTTTGAAGCTTTCATGTTGTCTATACAATTTCAACTGCTTCAAATATTGTTGGTACTTTTATATGTTTATAATTTGTTGCTAACGTTTGGGAAATTACTGCTAGTGTTGAAAATAAAAACCTACAGACTAATTTATTTGGTATTATTATTATAGTTCAACGTATTATTATTTTATGTGGTGTGTCTGTTTTTTAAAATACATTTCAGAATCTTAATAATGTTAATAGCATTCAAAAGCTAATTAATGACCATTGAAATTTCAAAGCAAGTATATATATTTGATTTTATTGTGTTGGGCCTTTTTAACATTTGCCTTCTTTCATTTTGGTTGCCATCAATTTTCCTTCATATAATGGTCCTTTATAATCGTTTTTTTAAAATCGTTTTATTGTTCTCAATTGCCAAAAAGGTCTGCTTTACTTTTGGAAATCCTTCATATCAACGTGAGAAGCAATTATAATATATTCTTGGCCGTAAAGTTTATTGTTTGCAATTATTTTTTTTAATGTTGGGTTTCTATACATTATCTTTATAGTTTTTTTTTGTGTCAGTTTTAGTTCTGACCTATCTGTGTTTTCAATTTTATATTGATTCTTTATTTTCATTTGTAGATATCAATTTTTGCGAAACGTGCAGAGAGTTTATGTGATATTATTGCAACTTTTATTGAGCTTAATTATTCTTTATTTTGCTGGCTGTCATTGCTTTAAATTTGGGAGAAAAACGAAGCATTTTTTTTATAGTATAAATGCCATTACCTAGTTGGTTGATACATCAATGTTGAGAATTAGAATTTTTACATTTATGGAGAAATTAATTTTGACTATTCTATTTTGTTGAGAATATAATGTCCTATATTGAAATCCATTGTTGAGATCCATTGTTGGTACAATTTATTTTGGACGTTAGTTTTTGAGATCCATTGTTGTCATTAACTTTAATTAGAAGCTTTGCAACGGCCATTTCATTGACATAACTGTTTTGTACCTTGGTATTACTTTCAATCATTATTTTGGTTGCCGTTAATTTCTTTTTATGACTTCATTTCAATTGGTCTTTCAAATAAGGCAATTTCTTATTGTGATGGTTATTTTTAATTGCTGAAGGTTTTATTACAAAATCTTTTTGCTGAAGCAATCAAAAGTATTCATTAATTTTTTTTTCAAACCGTGTAAGCAAATTGCATAAAACTATTAGTATCAAACCGTGTTATTAATATATATATATATATATATATATAATATCAGTTTTATTTTATGTATTTAGTGGTTTTACTATTATATTTATTATGCTTATTAAGATGACATTGAATTGGCATTAGAGTACCAGCCGTTAGATTAGCTTTATGTGATATCAAACTTGAAATTGTAAGCATGCAGTTATTATTTTATTTTGATTATTGATTCGTTTTGTTTGTAATGGAAAATATAATTTGAATTTAGTGGTTTTGGACGTTAGCTCCTTTTGGTTCCGAAATTGGTTAATTTATATTAATTAGAAACTTTTGCATTGCACATTCAATTACGAGATTTTATTTATTTATTTTAATTTATGCAGCTTTAGTTTCAAAACTTTAATGTCAATTTCATGACATTTAGAGCTTTTATTTTGGCAGTAAAATTGTTGATATTGTTAGGTGATTATTGCCTTTAATGTTCTGAACATTTATGCAATTTAATTACATCTTTGTTTTAATGCCTTGGATTCTTTTTAAAGTTGCCAACGCCTATATATTCGATTGTGCAATCCTTCGTATTAGTTACTTGAGTTAATCTTGATACAAATATATTGAGTGAATTAATATTCTTTTGATTGTGAAGTGTTGACAGCTGACACTTTGAGTTGATCCGTGCTCATAGCGGATCTTGAGTTTGTGTATAAGGGGTCGTATCTTGGAGTCTTGTAGACCGTCAGTACCTGCACGTAGGGAGGCTACAAAGGCTTTAGGACAACGTCTTTGACGTGCTTCACCGTACCAAACTCACCTTCTTACCTATTACTTATTTTCCTTTTATTTTCCTATTATTTTGTTTTCTTCAATTTCATTATACCTTCAAAGCTTTTCAATTTATTTATATGTTATTTATAATATAAATATTTTGTATTTGGCTTTACTGAAAGAGGAAAACTATTATTTTTCACAACAGGCTCGTTGTCACAAAAAACCTTTATGTATAACGTATCATTTATCAAAATAACTTACTCAGAGACATTGATCGAATGAGGGAGGGTGACGAGTATCTCAAATTAAGGATGTGAGATAATTTGTTGACGTGAATTGATTCACTAGGCATAAAAAATGTAAGTTCAAGGAGGAAAACAATGTCTAGTCAAAACATCACAATTACCTTACCTTAGAGCATCTCCCTTGGAGATGGCAAAATTCAAACATCAAATTTAAATTTGATGCCTTATGTGGTACTTCAACATCTCGTAAATATATGTACTTCAACAGATATTTTAAAATAGGTGAATTATTATTTTACCACATGAAACGGACTCTCGGTCTCACTTTACCCCATGAAATTGAAATTTTCTCACTGAACTCCCAAAATCTCAAAACAAATTGCTGAAATTTTCTCACTTTACCACTTATATCCATTTTCATTCACAAAATTGAGTGTTGTGATGTGATATGGGCATTTTAGTAATTTTAGCTCCCATATCTTTTCTCTTCTCTCTTCCCCCCCCCCCCCCTCTCTCTCTCTCTCTCTCTCCTCTCTCCCCTCCTCGACCCAACTCCTATTGCACCCCATCTCTCTCTCTCTCTCTCTCTGTCTCGCTCTCTCTCTCTACTAGCCTCTCTACACGTGCTTCCGCTCCTACAAGAGGCTTTTTTTTAAAATTTAAAATTTATTTAGAATTAAAAAGAGATAAAGTAAATTTAGGTTTTAGCCATAAAAAAAACTTTCACTTTTGGAAAAAACCAAAGCTTTTTCAAAAAAGACAAAAAAACCTCTCAAATTTTAAATCAAAGACATACAAATGTAAAGGATTCCTTAGGAAATCCAAAAATAAATAAGGGCAATTTTGTCCATTTTGGCTTCTTTTAAAAAATTTCTCTCTCCTTTTGCTTTTTCCAAAGTCTCCCCCTGGGTAGTTGTGTTCCATAAAAATATGATACATTATCTAATTTTTCTTTTAATTTTAATTTTTTAATATAAAAAATATGAATTTACCATATTATCCTCATTTAATTAATAATTTCAATTCTTAATATTTACATTAACCAATGACATTTTCTAGCATTTAGAATGTTTCACCATTCTCTGTCTTTTGTTTTATATATATAGATCTCTCTCTTTTCCTAACAACATTTCCAAAATAAAATATGATTAAATAATAATCAGATCATCTTGTACATTTACAATGGAATTTTTTCTGCATAAACAATCTTTAACAATCGCGTAGCGCGTGTGATTAAAAAAAATCACCTATTGCACATGTGTGAGAGGGGCATTAAAATGCAAGTCAATTAATAATAAGCTATGGTTGCGAAAATATGAAGCATGTGACCTTGGGAAAAAGAAAAACAAAAACGCCACCTGTGTGTGTTGCTTGCTCTCCATTGCATCAACAATTATGGTTTCCCAACACGTAGCAACTGAAAGAATCATCCACCGCCACGCACTCTCTCTGGATCCGAACCCGCCGATCTCACACTAACAAAACCAAAAATCACACCCAATAATTAACGCCATAATAATCCTGCTTAATGCTTAGCTTAACTCCATAATCTTAATCCTCTACGACAACACCACTTATCCTCCGAAACATGTCGTCCTTCGACTCCTTCCCCAACGACGACGAAACCCACCACGACCCCACCACCCGCCCCTTCGACGACGACGGCTACATAGGCTACGACCCACGCCTCTCCTCCCAGCGCTACGACGCGTCGTTCAACCCTCCCACCCACGACGACGACGACTTCTCCTCTTCCGCCGTCGACCCGGCGCCACCTCCCCTCCACACTGATTTCCAAGACCACGTCGTTCTCCCCGGCGGCGGAGGCTACAACAGCAGCCATAGCATTGACCAGCAGTCGCCCGAAATCTACGGCTTCGGCATTTCCACCCCTAACCCCGACTACGTGTCGCCGTTTGATTCGGCGGTGCCCGAGGACAATAACGTAGGCGGTATGGGCGGTGATGGTGGTGGTGGTGGCGGCGGCGACGATGGGGACATTTTCGCCTCGTGTGAGCCGGTGCTGCCTCCGCCGGAGGAGATGCGAGAGGAAGGCTTTGCCCGGCGCGAGTGGCGTCGGTGAGCTCAGATCTCTTTTCGATTTGTGTGGTGTGGATTTTTGTTGGTTGAAAATCATATTATTAAATGTGGCAATTTTGAATGGCATTGTTTGAATCAATTTGAGTTAAAAAGGTGTTTATGATGTTCTGCATGCATGGTCTTCTTTAGGCTTAATTCCATCTGCCTTAATTTGATTTCTGTATCTGTGTGACTCTGTTCATTGCCATTTCTTTTAAGCTTGAGGTCTGAATTAGTAATTGGTAATGCTTATTTGGATGGAATAATGATTGGTTTGCTCGCATGATCTTAAATAAATCTTGGAAAGAAAGAAGCATTTAAAAACCATGTAGTGTTTTTCTTTTCTTTTCCATTGTTTTCATCTGCCCTGATGAAGGCGTCCATTTCTGCAGTCTAAATGTCATCCATCTTGAAGAAAAGGAGCAAAGAGAAAGGGAGATGCGGAACCAGATTATTGAGGAAGCTGAGGAATTTAAACGAGCTTTTTATGAGAAACGGAAGCTCAATTGTGAAACTAACAAGGCTCACAACAGAGAAAGGGAGAAGGTATTAGTACTAAAACTCATCATTTTCCATGTTTTCCCTGATCCTGATTCTCTCTCTCTCTCTCTCCCTTGCTACCTTTCCACGCTTCATATCTAAGACAAATGAATTTGACTTTCTGTGCAGCTTTACCTGGTCAACCAAGAGAAGTTCCACAAAGAAGCTGACAAACATTATTGGAAAGCAATAGCGGAGCTGATTCCTCGTGAGGTCCCTAATATTGAGAAGAAGAGAGGGAAGAAAGATCCTGATAAGAAGCCTTCAGTGCTGATCATCCAGGGTCCAAAACCTGGGAAACCAACTGATCTTTCAAGGATGCGGCAAATTTTCATTAAGCTGAAACAGAACCCTCCACCGCACATGATGCCTCCTCCCCCACCTGCCAAAGATGGTAAGGATTCCAAGGAAGGAAAGGATGCAAAGGATTCCAAGGAAGGAAAGGATGCGAAGGATTCCAAGGAAGGAAAGGATGCGAAAGATGCAAAGGAAGGAAACGATGCCAAGGGAGGAGAGGATGCAAAGGATTCCAAGGATGCAAATGATTCAAAGGATTCCAAGGAAGGAAAGGATGCCAAGAATGGAAAAACTAATTCACCCATTGCAGCGGGTGCTGCAGCTGCAATCGCACCTGTTTCACCTGCCAAAGATGTTACTGCTAATACCACTCCCAACTCATCAAAAGCAGAGACTCCGGCTGAACACGAGGGTGAGCAACCTGCAGAAACCAGGCCAACCCCTGCAGAGTGACGACCCATCATATTTTTCATTATTTAAGTTTATTCATTCTTCTTCTTACAAATCATTGCGAAGAATAAGCACAATCTTTATCGATGATCCAGAGTCTGCAGCATGGAGTGTACAGACTGCAGAGGTTTCTTCCTGACTTGGTATTTAGGGTTTTGTAGGCTAGCTACTTGGTTGCATTCGGTGTTTGGCATTCATGTTTTTTAGCTTTTTGAGTTACATTCGTCCTTTGATCCAATACTATATAATGAGAGCAACCTAATTTTTCAATAAGAAGGTATAAAATACGATTTTTCTCCTATTAGCATCGCCCATTGTTATTAAGTCATAAGGAAATACAAAATAAACTCCTTCATCAAGACACTGAGAAAAATAAAATTCAGAAAAAAGAAGAAAAGAAAGGAAAGCAACATCAGCAGATTTACTTGTAGTAGGAGAGAACAGTATAAATTGTCTGTGTGATGGTAAGAATGAGAATAACGACGACCCCACTGGAAACAGACCAGATTGATGATGGATTGTATAAATAATCTCGTTTGATCATTGTGAGCCAACTCCTTAGCCAGCGACGCTCACAATACATGCTCACAGAGAAGGTGAGGCCATGGAAGTATAGCAAGCCGCCTTCAATTTCAATGTCCTTGCAAACCCTAGTGAAGAAACAGGCTATGTCCTCCTTGCTCAACTGCGTTTCTATAATTCCTTTCGCCATCAGAAATTCGGCATCTTTGGTAGACTTAATAAGGCAACTGAACAACTTTGCATAAGAGGTAGCGTAATAATTTACGTGATGTGGGGCACACAATTCATAGGCTATGAGGTTTCTTACGAAACGTTCTCCATTCTCTCCAATACACAGTGGAGGGATTCTCATCAACCCATTTTCGAAGGTAATGTCAAGCAGATCAGGTTTCGTGAAGTTCAGAGTACGTTCAAAATCCACTCCGATTTCCAGAAGCTCTGTCACTGAAGGAATCGGGTGATAAAAATAAAAACGATCCTCCCTGGACGGTAGTCCAAGGGCAGAACCTCTTGCGATGTCGAGGAAATGTCTTTCACTCGATATGCTTTCACTCGATATGTCTGTCACTGACACTGAGATGCCGAATACGTTTACAGAGAACCACGCAGCAAGGTACCGAAGATGTTCATTTTCTTCATTTGTGAGGTCAAATAAAGAGGCAGCAACTTTCCAAGGAAGTTGGTTTTCAAGTAGCAACAAGTCATCTCTAATTGTCGACAACATCCATGGCGTTTTAAAAATTGGATCGTGGTCCGAGTACCTCAAACGGGGTCTGCGGAAAAGTTCAATAATAAAGCAACCATCAACCACCATCATTTCTACAAATCTATCACTGCTCAGATTATCAAATTTTTCGTCGTAGCAATCACGACAAAATTGTTCCATACTCCTAATTGTTGCCACGAACGTCTCCAAACTGGTGTTCTGATTTGGTTTTCGTTCAATGAGGCCATGCAAGTACCACAGCTTCATTTCTTCCATGGCCTGCAACTTCTTTTCCCCATGATGATACGGCCCGATTGAAACCAAACTTGGGACGAAAACCTCTTCGTTGTGCCTAACCAGTTTATGAGGGACTCTATATATACAAGTTTGATCTGGTACTGGAGATTCCTGCCGAAGCTTTCGTTGTATTGAGGATGCTAATAATTTGTCTTTATTTTTGTTTCGGTTCAACGTTTGCTTGCCCACATTATCTGCTTTTTCCTTGTGATCGTCTCTATTTTCCATCACAGAGTGATCTTTTGCATTGCTCTCTGTCATCGTAAACTCCTTTTCAAATCCAAATTTGACTAACTCTGCTGTAATTCAAAAGAAAAAGAAATGCAAATAGTTACATATAGGATAAAAAAATGTCAATAAATTCAAGTACGACCAAAATCGGAACCATACAGAAACTTCCATGTGAATAATACCTCTAAATCTAATTTATCGGCTTCCTCCACCACCCATTACTTTGAACCATGAGATTCCTAAAAGTTTAGGAGAATCCTTCGATAACCATTCGATAACCATTTCAATTTTATTTTTTAATTTTATTTATTGTGCTAGAGTATTGAGGAAAATAGGAGTGAGAATGAGAGTGAGGATGAGGAGAATCCTTGGTCATTATATTTAACAGTGTTTTGAATGGAGTTGATGGTAGGGGCAAAATGAGTCACCAAACCTTGGTCAATGGGGAAAAGTAGGCCATTTTAAGTGTTTTTTTTTTGGGGGGTGGTGGGGGCAACAATGTGAAATTTGACCGTAGTTTCATGGGGCATTAATTAAGCCTAAAATAAAATCATGTCTACTTCTCAAAATCTGAATGAGAGGGGGGAGCCTCTCTCTAAAGCTCTCTCGCAGTACGTTTATGATTTAAGGCATTGTTACTCTCAAATTTTGAACTTGACTATTGAACATATTTAAAAAATTTAACTCATATACATCAAATAAAAAAATCAACATTATAGGTAAAATGCACATATAATTTACCTAACCAAAAGGTCATGAAGAAATCAACATTAATTATAAATAAAATGTATGCTTAGACATATAAAATTGTGTTATATTATTAATAGGAAGACTACAGAAAACTCACGAATCATTCCTCTTTGATAGGTAGACTAACTCAATACTTGAAACTATGTGGTAGGTACGTAGTTACATAAACTCAAGAATTATTCCCCCTACTACCTACGTACACAAATGGGCAAAAAAATAAAAAAAAGAACCACCATCGTCGAGGCCAAGTGTCGAATGAGAAGAAATTTGAATTTAGGTGTTGTAGAGTTTTTTTTGGTGGAAGGGTGTGAGAGACTTTGGGGAAAGAAAAAGTGTAGGTTTGTATTATAAAGGGTTATTGTGCAATTAATTTCAAGAATAGGGTAGGTGTTTACTCGCAGGGTAGGTGTTTGATAAAATTTATTTGGTTTCGTTATACGAATTCAAATGACATGGTGTCGTTTTTTTTCCTCACTCTTTTGTACAGAATACTTTGAAGAGAAAATAGAGAGATGTTGCAACAAGTCTCATATTTGTTGGGTCACTCTCTCGTTACACGAGGAGAGCCACGAGTCTTATCTAGGGTTTCGTCTTGTGGTTAGCCACCGTCCCATCCCGATTAGTCCACGCAGCCTTCTTTCTCTCCTGAGGTCGTCTTATCGCAATCAGTGGTTAACACTTTCAGCCTCATCGCCAATTGCGTTCAATCACTCTTACTCGCAGGGTGCGTCTCCTCGCCTCCATCCTACTTGTTCATCCTCATCTTCAATCTTGGTATCGATACTGAGTCATTCTCCCCCCGTCTGCCATCGTTGTGACCATTCCCATTATTTGGGGTCTGGTTCGTTTGTTCTTGGTTTTGAATTCCTTGTTTTTGGTGTATAGTCTATTATGCTGGATGTCTACATCTGTTGCAGATACGAGCAATCCTTTGGTAGTAGTCTTGTACTCACGCCATGTGAACATGATGGCCTAATTATTGGTTCCTCTAACATCACATACAATTTTGTTGGTTTTATATATGGTCTTATCGCTCAAGTTCTTATCGATAAACCTATCAATCGTGATGGCTTTATTAAAACCTTTACGTAACTTCAGAAAGGCTTTGGAGATGTCTCTATCAAAGAAATTGGATCCAACAGATATTGGGTGTGGTTTGTTTGTGATCGAGGCAAGAAGTGGGTCCTTGATATGGAGCCCTGGACCTTTGGGCATTCATTGATATTGCTAGCTAACATCCCTTGATACTTTTTGGGTTCGACTCCATGGTGTCCTTGGTTTCTGCATGATTGTCGTTGTTGCTAAAGTAGTAGGGGCTATTCTAGGAGAAGTTCTTTGGGTGGATAATCGTGACGGTGCTGACTGTGTGGGTCGTTTTATCTGTATTCATGTGAGGTTTGATGTCACGCAACCTCTTATTTGTCGTACACCTATTACATTCCCAGAAGTGGACAAGCGAATGGTGGATGTTAAAAATGAATATCTTCTCGAATACTACTTTGTGTCTGGCAAAATTGGTCATCCATCCTAGGTGTGTATTGATAAATATGAACTTTCTTAAGGTTCTCTTAATCCGTCTTTGTTATACCAGTTTTCCTCAGCTCTTGTTGATTTGGAAGGTGATACATACTTGCGGGGCAACTCTATAGGCTCTTTGGCATGCCATATTTCGACTCCCTCACCCCCCATATAAGAGTCATGTTCATTCTACTCAGTGGGAGGGTCTTTGGACCAATGATGGTCCGGGTGATCGTAGTAGTTTTGACACTCGGTCTTTGCGGTCGTCCTATCATGAACGGACTGAGATAGAGGATTCCATCTCCCCTTCGGCTCTTCCACTTGCTCCGTAGTGTTTGATGTAATGGCCTCTCTTCGGCGCTAGTTTGAGAAATCAGCGGCAGCGGCGCGTAGTCCGCTGGTTTCGCTAACTGTGCCAAATGCCTCGGTGGTCCCCGCACTAAAAGATCCCATCTTCCAGGCGCCTCCCCTTGCTCCCGAGATTTAGTAACCTCTAATCCTTTTGATATTATGCCCATTATTCAGTTCTCTGCATGTCATTCACCAAAAAAGGGTTGTGTCAAACCCAAGAAAAGGGAGGTTCCCCGTAATGCCTCTCATATGATTAAGTAGTGTAATAATTCAGTTGCACCTGTTTTTGTCAGTGATACTTTGGTTTCTGGGGTGGATTTCATGGCTTCTAAGCGACTGTGCATTGGTGTCCCTTCTAACAAACCTATGGAGACCGGTACAGTGGAGTCTCCTGGGAGCATCCCTTAATGTGTTTATGGAGCATTCGTGGGCTCTGGCATCTAGCGAATGCTCTCAAGCTTGTTCCCAGTAGAGTAGTAGTTAAGGTCAGCTGTGTTTGTTGTAGTATTATTGTGTGGGTGGGTTTTTTTTTTTTTTTTTTTTTTTTTTTTTTTTTTTTTACCTTCACTCACTCACCTTTTTTGCATTTCTATTTTTGCCTGTTTCAATTACTATGGTTTCATAGGAGGTTTCTTTATCAGTGTTGAGATGATTCGGCGTGCTTGGGGGGACCTTTCATTTCTTTTCCTAACCTGTTTGCAGGATTTGTCTCTTCTTTGTGGTGCTCTTTGCAACTTTCTCTAATTTCATCGCCATTTGCTATTGGAGGTGGCTAGAGATGGTGTGCTTGTGCTTGTTTCTGAAACGACCCAACCCAAATTCCACTTTAAAATCTGAGCCGAATCCTGTTTAAAACTGACACTTGGTGGGTGTGGGTGATAAATGACCAAAATGCCCTGAAAAAATAATAACACAAACTCAGACTCTAACTCGTGGCTGCACCTGATAACTGTAGGCTGCCTACGTATCCTTACTGAGGGATCAAGCCACACGTAATTCTTTCCTCTGTTCCTGATCTGCAACTAGTTTGTTTACTGTAAAATTCGCTCTAGGGCTAACATTCCTGGAGTAACCGGGACTCCGTTTTACGATCCGTCAAATACTATACGATTCTAGAATTACCTAGATCAACATACTTGAAATTGACTGCGATCCAACGGTTCAAACGTATCGAACCCAGAAATCACACACTAGGCGAGATCCGTTCGGGGTTCAAACCTTATCCGAATTAAGATCCGTGAAATCCTACGCACTCGTGAGAACTGGGAGATTATTGTAGGACTGACTGTGGTCCCCACCCTGCTGCCCACGCGCCGGCAGTGCGTGGTGCGTAAAGCGATAACGCTTCGTCGGAAAAACTCTGAATCGCGGCTCAAGGTTCCTACCCTAGGTGTAACACCCTATTTGGAGCCACTTTTGTTCTTGGACTTACCCCAAAAACTGACCGGAAGTGGCCGGAATCGCACCCTCAAAACCGGCTGAAACCTAACTTAACAATCGAAGTATTTACGCTTGGAATTTCTGAAATCCTACCCAACCAGCAGCTAGAGCATGGAAAATAGCTAGAAAATCATACCTCACTCGTCCGATTTGGTGGCCGGAGGTGTCCGAACGAGCTCCGTGAAATTCCATCAAAAACTGTCCAAACCGCCTTGTTTCGTGGCCGTTTCCGGCGACTACGACGGCGGATCGAGGCTGGGATGGGCTGAGACTGAAAGAGGGGAGTAAGGTGGTTCGTTTAGCACTGGTCTTGCTGGATTTGGTGGTCGGGGCTGAGAGATATCACCTTTGGAAGTCAGCTAGTCGAGCTGCCAACAGAGGAGAATTCTGGGTCTTAAAAAAACTGAACTTCGAAATATTTACGGTTATGCCACTGAACTTCTTTTGATCGAAACTCCTTCGTTACAACTCCGATTCTAGTCCACTATATGTCTACGGACTCATTTCGTCGCGCTCTACGCAACGGTATAACTGAAATCTCCAAATTCCTTCCTGGTCAAAAAGTCAACCTTTAAACCAATAAAAGATTCTACGAGTATAATGGTCTTTTATTGGAATAAATTAATAATTAATTATTAATTAAGGATCTGGTTGTTACAGTTTATTTTTCTTCCTAGCGAATGCTCTCA